GTTTGTATTAATATCAATAAGCTAGTAGTTTTAACCTAGTCTAATAAAGTATTTGTTAACGGGTAACCGAATATATTGTATTAATACCGATAACCTAGTAGTTATAACATAATCTAATAAAATTCTTGTCAATGTAATTATTTTTTCTAAAATATTTTTTCGTTTCATTATAAGTATAGTTTTAAACTTTTTTGCGTTTCGTCTTTTTAAGTAAATTCCAATTTTATTTTATTAATTAGAAGGATAAAGTTATATAGTACATTAATAGTTTTATTAATTACATGTGAAAATTCATAAAATGACATATATAGTGGAAAAAATAGAGATTATAATTATATTAACACAAATTTTTATTATTTGTATATACCAAATTCCCCACAAAAGATATTACTCTTTGAAACCAAATTAGTCAAAAACCAAAGGTATGTGTACTAATAGGCCGAAAGCCCAGCCCATCAGTAAGTTAGTCTGCTCAAATTCATCATCTCCCCTCTCCTCCTTAGGGTTCTTCTCTCCGATCACTTCTCCGACGCCGAAATGACCAAGTTCAGGAAGCTCGGTCGGCATGCGGGTCACCGTATGAATATGCTCAGGTTTCAATCTTTCCTTTTTTGTTTCTTCTCACTTCCTCTTTCGATACACAGAAAGTTTTCTCCTTTGATTTTGAAGTGTTGGTTTTACTCTTGTTATTAGGACTATGGTTTCTCAGTTGGTGAAGCACGAGCGTATAGAGACCACCGTCACAAAGGTATTCATTTTCTGGCCTCTGGGTTTTATAGAATCTGCGATCTTCCTGTCTGTAACTCAATTTCATCAGATTTTCTTGTCTGTTTGGTGAAAAGGATACTCTTTTATATAGCAAATTCGATTCGCTGTGAAAGGTGTGTGGTACTGTTTAGTGATTGTTACTGTTCGATAAATTACTTCATTAGTATAATGCACATATCAATTTTGGCTGAAAAGAAGCAATGTGAGATTTGTGTGACTGTTTTTGTTGGCCACATGATTGATTTGTGTGTTAGAGGCTAAAGAAGCATTTGGTTTTGCAGGCTAAAGAGGTTCGTCGTCTTGCTGATAATATGGTTCAACTTGGTAAAGAGGTATTTTGTTTCCTTGATCTCTCTCTGTAACGTTGACCTCAGAGTTTCTATAACTCAGTTATTGGTTGATCCGTGATATAGATTTTGAGACAGACTAAGTTCATGCCACTTTCTATAAGTGCTTTTGGATGGTTTGGTTCGAGCTGTTAAGTGTTTTGCTGCAGCTCAAGTAAATATCGTTGGCTATCCGAAAACTTCATCTTGCTGATAAATTTATATATCAGGGTTCACTCGCTGCGGCAAGGAAAGCAGCTGGTTTTGTTAGAGGAGATGATGTCATTCACAAGCTTTTCACAGAATTGGCATATAGATACAAGTGAGTCTTCAAAATCTCTTGCCCATCATTTAACTGTTGTCACCTAAGTGCTTTGAGTAATCATTGGGATATATTTTCTTTTGCTACAGAGATAGAGCTGGTGGATACACAAGAATGCTACGTACTCGCATACGAGTTGGTGATGCTGCTCCAATGGCATATATCGAGTAAAACTACTTTCTTTTCTTTATCATTGCTTCTGTTACATTAATGATCTACAAGATTGATGTTATTGGAATGTTTCTGGTGAACTATTTGGGCAGGTTTATCGACAGAGAGAACGAGCTTAGGCAGTCGAAACCAGCAACACCTCAACCACCACCACGAGTGCCTTTGGACCCATGGGCAAGATCGCGGCTCACCAAGCAGTTCGCTCCGCCTAAGGAGGAGAAAAGCTCTGATTCCGAGCTATAATGTGGCAGAATAATCTCTTTCTATCCACCAAATTTCTTATTTTTGCATCCAATATACTTTCTCTATGATTCATCATTAGCCATAAGATGATTTCAAGAGGTAAACTAAAAGAACATTTAAAATGTAATCTTGAAAGTATTAACAAATTCGGTAAGGCCTTTTTCTTTGCCCATCTAGTCTACCTATAAACTAAACTGTAAGTAAAAGTTGCTTTCTTTTTTCTTGTTTTGGAGAAGATTAGGTTTAGAGTTTGAGACCACTCATCTCCTAGTGTGTGGCCCCTATGATCTACCAAAAACACTAGAATTTATGTGCGTAATGCATGGACCCATGCCTAAACTGCATTTAGGTGAACCACTTAGAAAGAACCCTAAAACCCAATCTGGTTTTTTAAAAATTTGAAACCTACTCTTCTTTGAAATTAATGGTTTTTACCTGCCCTTTTACCAGTTTCTGCAACCTCCATCATCCTCCTGACTTTTTTTACAGCCAATTCTAAAGCAT